GGGGGGGGGGGGCGAATGGAAATTTTGTGAAAACTTTAAAAAATATAAAATGATGGATTAAAGGATGAATTGATGTCGAAATTGGATAAATTTGGTGTGGTTGGACTCGAATCGGAATTGATGTTCAGATTTTATGAATTTTATCAGGTTCTGAAGTGCGGTCCCGAGGTTATTTTTTGGGTTGACTATTTTAGTTTTCATTAAAGATCGAACATTTATTATCCGGAATTGTTTTCTATGGTTTTTATTCATGATATGAAATTATTTTGGCTAGATTTGATCCGTCCAGAGGTTGTTTCACACGAGAAGGTCATTTTAGAGTATCGGTCTAGCTTCTTTGAGTTAAGTATCTTGCCTAACTTTGTGGGGGGAAACTACTCCTTAGGTTTTGAGTTGTTTGTGCTATTTGTGTCATGTGAAAGCCGTGTACGCGAGGTGACGAGTACGTACCCGGGCTTATATGTGGAAATTGACCGGTCTAGACTCTTAGGCATCTTTTATGTACTTATTTGGAATTGTTAGCACATGTTATATCTTTTATTCGTCATGTCTACTATCAGATGCTTTATTTGAAGTTGTCATCACATGTCACATTCTTCAGTTGTCGAGCTTGCTCTTATATGCTTATTTGGAGTTTTTATCACTCTTATCATTATGTGATTTCTTTTATTGTGGGCTACTCTTAGTTGAATTGTCGTCACATGATATCTTTTTGCTGTCTGGTTGTTCTCATGCATTTAGACGTAGTGCTAGTTCGCGCCATCCCTTTCATGATTAGCCTAATTCATACACTAGGGTCCAAAGTTTGCCATTCCATGGAAGTACTATCACTATCGAGGTTATCCTTAAACAATTAATTGAAATTGAGGTTATCGAGATACATAATCTATTCTAGTTGAAGTTGTGTTTAAAGAGGGGTGTTGTTCCTTGTAGAGTTACTTTTTCGCTCATTTTATTGTCATTAAGATTCTATATATGTTGTGTTGAGTCGTGGTCTATTTGTTGTAAAAATATTGATATCGTTGAATCTTTGGATAGGTTGTGGCCTACGGGCAATTGTTATACGAGTTGTTATATTGTGTTGTTGTGATGATAGCACATGTGAATTTTTGTGTGGTTTGGTTGTTGTTATGCTGAGTATAATGGTGGCACTTTGCCGTTGTTGTTGTTATGCGGAGTATAAGGGTGGCATTTCACCGTTGTTGTTGTCATGCGGGGCATAAGGGTGGCATCTCACTGTTGTTGAATGTATGGAGTGATACAGGTGGCTATTGTGTTATTGTCTGGGAGGAGCGATAAGGGTGGCTATTATACGGAGTGATACGGGTAGATATAGGATAGATAGGGGTAGCTAATGATAATGTCAGGGCGGAGTGATATGGGTGGCTATCGGATAGATAAGGGTGGCAATGTTAGGGATGATGTGTGATGGTTTTGGGATATTGTGTTGGTGATTTTCGTGTGATGGTGTGTTTCTTTCTTGTGTTTGTCATACACCTTGCGTGACTTTCTTTGTTGTTCCGATGAGCTATTCGATGTCTTTAATATCACTTGTTGACTGAGGCTGCAGTAGTACACTCGCACAAGCATACACCGTAGCATGCCACTTATACTAACTCAGGAGTATGAAACTTGACATTGATTTATCATGCCCATGTGTGCTTGTATTATTTGTTTCCATGTTGATAATGAGCATGTGACCATGCCGGGCGGATTACGATTGTGAGCCTGTGATTATATTGGGCGGATTGTGATTGTGAGTCTGTGATCATGTCAGGCGGATTGGGATATTGACATGTGAGTTGTCTATGCGGTTGTGATGCGAGATATAGGCATGAGGTTTCGTAAGTATATGATGGTGGGTTGAGACCCGTGACTTGTGACTATGAGATGAAGTACCACAGGTGATTTCGTTGTGAAACTTGTGTTAGAACGACTTGATTAATTGATTGTCCTTGTATTCCTTTTTTGGTTTTATTGATACTTCACGATGTTCTTATTGCTTTAGTATTTATATCACTTGTTGGTTCTTGTTGCCATTTACTGATTTCCGCTTTCCGTTATTATTTTTATACTTCTATACTGCACAGGATATTTTTTCTAGTGAGTGTCTTAACTGTACCTCGTCACTACTCCACCGAGGTTAGTCTTGATACTTACAGGGTTGGTGTACTCATACTAAACTTCTGCACTTTTTTTATACAAATCCAGGTACTTCGAAGTTTGTTGATTGTTAGATAGCGAATTAGATATTGCAGTAGAGACTTCAAGGTATACCTGTCGTCTCGTTCGCAGGCCTCGGAGTCACCTTCGAAAGTTATATTTTGGTACAGTTTATTGCTATTCCGGAACAGTTGTACTTAGAAATTTTTTAGGGAACTTAGTAGAGCTTATGACTTGTACTGCCGATTTTGGGATTGTTGGCTTGTATAGAAATTTTGGTTTCATATTTAATAGTTATTGGTTGAATTTTGTCATTTAACATTAGCCTTACCTAGTCTTAAAGACTAGGTGTCATCATGACATCTTACGGAGGAAAATTGGGGTCGTGACAAAATCGAAAACCGAACCAAACCGACCAAAAAAAATGATACTTTTTAGGTTTGGTTTGGTTTTGGTTTTGAATTATAAAAACCGATCAAATTTGGTTTGGTTTTGGTTTTAATAAAAAAATAACCGAACCAAACCGACTATAGAAATAGCTATTTAAATTTATTATTACACCTATATATATGTATATTTTTATATAAAATTTTTAAAATTTTATGGTACATATTAGTCGCTTGTATTTTTAGTCTAGTTCTTTTCTATTATAATAATCTAATTCTTTGATTTTACATTGTAGTTTGATTGGTATTTTTCTTTTGCTAAGTACAAGAATTTATTTCATGTTAAAAATAATCGATTTTTAATTGAGTAATTAAATTATTCATCACTATTTGATTCAATTATCATCAATATATCTTGGTAAATGATAGATTTCTCAAAGAGCAATTGGTTTGATAGTGTTACGTTGAAAATATACCGAAATATGTGTTTGGTAGTGTATGTCTCATATTTAAGAAAACAAACCGATAAATAACCAAAAAAATCAAAAAACCGACAAAAACCGAATCGATAAAAAATCGACTTAATTGATTTTGTTTGGTTCCAATATTTGAAGAACCGACTTACTTGGTTTGGTTTCTTTTTAGGGGAAACCTGATCCAAATCAAACCATGAACACCCCTAGCTAGGCCAGCGCGACGCGCTGGCCTGGACCCTGTGTTGCAAAATATTTTCTATTTCGTCCGGGATAAGGTTATTTATGTCCTACACGGTCCTAATTTGTATAAAAAAAGGTTCTAAACCTAATTTGGAGGAGATCTAACATATTTTTGGGAGGATAACACGCCATTTTGGAGAGGAGAACGAAATCACGTTTAGAGGAGACTTCCAACTAGTTTTTCTTCTCTTCCCTTCCTTTAATCTCATAGTTTATTAGTTCTAGAGTTGTGGGTGTTATATGAACGGTGTAGTTTGAAGTTTGGATTGTTCTTATTATTTTATCATATTGGTTTATTTATTCAATCTTGCGCTTAATTATTTGATTGTTTGATCACCAATTGAATACTATCTACGAATCTAGGATTGAACTCGGGAGAAGGAATTTTAGATTGCATATAAGATTGAGTATAGCAAGATCTTGAACCTGAATTACGGGGAATGGATTTGTGGTTAGGATAGGGATATACCTAATCGCCTTGCTTGGTTACTATACGGGAATTATTAATGCGTTCTTGTTAATCCTAACTTCATAGGAATATAGGCGTTAGGTTAGCTTGAATAGGCAAGTAGTACTTTGAGAGAATACTACGAGTAATATTAACCTTGTCAATCAATAACCAGATAAATTAATTAGACAATTTAAGTAGAAAACTCAACGGGATTGTTAGTTGACCCATAGCTCTGGAATATTTTCTCATTGAATTCGTCTCCAAGTTTGCCGACTTGTTTTCTGTAATCGCTTAATTTGCTACTCTACATTAGTTTTAGTTAAATATTCATACTTTAGAAAATCGCTTGAATAGATTAATTGTCTTAATTTAATTTAGTAAATAGTTCATCACAAGTCCATGTGAGTACGATATCTGGACTTACAATCCTATATTACTTGTACGGCAAGTATATTTGCGTTTGGGAGCAACAATTTGCATAAAAAATTACACATTAATCCAACCAAAACTAAAATAAACAATTGAGTTATAAATCCATTAACAATAGATTTCTTGTTTGGTATTATGCAACAGCATTCTTTCAATTTAATTGTCCCCAGCTGTTGCAGTTGTTAAATTCAATCTACCATTTTCGTTCACGAAGTAGTTTATATTCTTATGGTCCACTGGAAGTGTTTATTTTTTCGCGCCACCACTGGAAATGTTAAGAATCTTTAGCAACGAGATAATACTTGTTATTTATTTAATTATAGATTGTAAATACCTGAAATGTGTTGGAGGAGTGTCAATATAAGAAACAAAAAGATTCTTAACAGATTAGATATTTGGATGACAATGCATATCACTTTAATTTAGTCGATCTTCTTGAATTTTCTTATTTCTCTTGTAATGATTGATTTTCTTTTTCACAATGATATATTTCTTATTAACCATTGTTTTTACAATTTTTGCATACAAAATGATTCAATGAGATGAAAGTGAACATACCGTAGCTTCCAAACAAACCACGAGGGGAAACACTATGTTTGACTAAATTTTTTATGATTTACATACCCAAAAGAAAAGAGATAAGGACTTGGACAAGACACTCGTGAAGAAAAAAAAAACTTATACATCTCGGTATCAAATTTATTTACATTATCAAATCACCTAGAAAATAACTATATGTAATTTGCATGTCATAAGTAGAGTTTAGTAAGAGTGTAAAAACTCTTATAGTATAAGTGTATTATATTGCCCTAATCAACATGAATATCTGACACTGGTTGGTTGTCAAAATTTGGTTCCTCTTCCAACCCAAGAAAAGGACAACAAAAAATTATCGAAGTGCCTGTCCAATTCTGTGTATGCTTTTCCTGTCTTCAAATCCAACGAAGGACGATTCATAGTGGTCCAATTTCCTTTTCTCCTCTTCAGTACCAGTGTACCAGCACCATCATTTAATTGGTTACATAAATGATTGTATGTCCTATACAATCTTCCTTTGTCAAAATATTCATCAAGTGTTCTGTTGTTTGTACTTGTCACTTTTGACTGTTCTCTATATATATTATGAAAAAAGAATTCTAGCCAGCTACTGTAACAAATTCCTTTCCCCTTGTATTCAAAAGATTCCTTTCTCCTATCATACTGGAGTTTTTGCTGCACACATCAGGACAAGAGTTTGAAAGAAGCAAACTTGCTTCATTGCGCCAGTTAAATCCATATAACCATGAATTTACAACAATGAGAAAACTTAACTAATAACTGTAGTCCTAATCTTCTTCAAAATGGTTGGACTATCTATACTTCTAAGAGGGTACATATGAAAGAAAATACTTGTTTCTTTCAGATTTCAAGGGTCAGGAAGAAAGCAAGTGGAAGTATGAAGTATGAAATCTTCTGCCTCTATGCTGTTACCAATCACACAGATGGGAAATACTTGTTTAGATTGAAAGGGAGGGAGTAGAATTCCTCACTTCTTGTGTCAGTCTTAAAGGACTTGAACTTGTCCCACCAGTGCTTGCCTCTGTCCTTTCTTGTCTGGCCATCCTTTTTGTGCATCGTGTTGTCTAGAAAATAAGCCACAACACCCGCCACAAAAGCTTTCGATTGAAATGGCACATTGACCATGTCGTTGAACTGAACAATAACAAACCGCAAAAGCTCTTACAACATGACTAGAATGCAACATACATCAAATGTTAAGACATATTTAGATGCCAATTTGTCATACCCATCTTGCATGTGTGTGAACAGGTCCATAACCAGCAACGGCAGTATACTCATTGAAGTACTGTGGGACGGACAAACCCAGGAAGACAGAGAAACCTAATATAAACTTGGTGCGGAAGCTATTAAGATTGCAGAACTGAAGGAAGCCTAAGCCTCCCGCGCCTGCAAAGAATGAACATTCACAATTCACAAACTATGAATAACATGAAAGACTTTGCCAGTGCGCAAGTGCTTGCCTTACATGTATACGTACCTACATAAGCGAAGAAAAGGCAGTATAAAGCACCTACAATGGGTGCTGGAATTGAAGCAAAGACTGCTCCAAATTTCCCTGATGATAATAGTGTTGTCAAGACAAATCCTCAGAACGTGGGAGAACCAAATATCAAAATAATCCACAAGAAGTTTTTTGATAAAATTGTTAGAGAAGTGATTTACCAAGAATTGAGAAGAAAATCATGAACCCAGCTGATATCTGAACAACTCTTCTACTGCCAACACGTGTCAGTGCTAAAAGACCAGCATTCTCCCTGAGGTATGAGAGAAAAAGTGAGGGCTTAGTCAACTAGTGTATGAGAGACTATCGAGCTGCAGAAGGTTTTTGTCTGGACTTACACAGATACAGAAGATCCATTCCCAGTGCCAAACAGTCCTGATAGTAAAATTCCAACACCCTGAGGTAAACAGAATGTTTCAAAATTAAAGAGAGCAAGAAAGTTCATCAGAAAAAATTTAGAGTGAAGGTTGCAAGGGGTAGTAGAAGGGATAGCAAACAATCAATACTTCTCATGAACCTCGTTGACAAGAAAAATACATGTCTTCCTTTCCAATCTCAAATCTACCTCCACTCTAAAAGTGAATATAACACCAAATGACCTTTTTTACCTCTTCCCATGATGCCGTATTATTCAATGAGAACGATGGGAAGGCTGCATGATATATGTCAAGCCCACTCTCCCCCTACCCCAACTAGTCTGGGAACACTTCATGAACTGGGTAAGCGCTTTTTACTTTTCGGCTGTCCTTCTAGACCCTTGTTTTCTTTAAATTAAACTTCTGGGTTAATGAGTGTGTTAGAAGTATATATTATGATATATCACAACAACTAGAGTGAAAGTTTAACGGGAGAAAATTCCCGTATCATTGGCATGTAATACTTAATTTCTGTGTCTCATTCTCCAAAATAAAAAGTCCTTAGCTAAATGGAAGGCAGAAAACAAAAGATAGAGAGTGGAGAAGAAGAATATTTCCAGAAAACACATCACGAAGCAACAGAGAGACAACTACTGAGTTCCAATACTTTAGATAGGAACGCAGGGAATTGGGACGGTTCCAATCCCTTAACGTCATTAGGTATGATATCTGCTATCTAAAGAAATATTATATCTGCCACGTATTGTCACGCCCGAAGTGGATCCAATGCGAAATTTCAGTAACAAAAATTACTCAAATTGGCATTAGATTCAAAATAAATGTACAAAGGAATGATCCGGATTAGACATGTAGGGTTGCAGACTTGCAGTTGAGTGGACACAGATTTTGACTAGTATAATGAGAAGAAAGTCATAGAGTTGGGTGTCGGAGTTACCCAAAACAATTCATAATTCTTGTGCATGTGGAAAATGGTGATACTGGAGGAGTCAATGACGTTCCAACTTTGTGTAGTTTTCCTAATCTATTTTCCTACTTCACATAAACCTCCCTAAAGATCATATGCATTTGATTCCGAGTAAAGCTCCACTTCAATGAAATCCAACAGAACATTCTGCTTTACTTTTCTTTGCTTATTTTACAAGAGGGTGAGGGAGGGGGAGGATTCTCGGGAAGAAAACCTGTTTACCTGCCAACCAACACCACGGCTAAGTATGGATGGCGGCAAGGGAGTGGCACTTGCATATCTTGCAACTGCAACGAAAGCACCAGTGGACTGAAAACACCAAAACCGCAAGCATGAAAGGAAGTTAGTTCAAGGTCAATCTCTTTCAGAGCATAGAAGTATCTTTTTCTTCAAAAAGAATGACGAAAAAGGAAGGTGTTGAATCGCACAAGAATTGAAAAGGATGCAAAAAGGTGAGTAAAAAAAGGGGTAGCACAAAGAAAGAAAGAGTAGATAAAGGTAAGAAGCACACAAAATCTGAAACAACAATCGGATGTGTCATAATACCAAATTACCACTGTAGCCAAATATAAGACAAACAAGATCATAGAGGAATTAGCAACAGAAAACAACAAAAGGAGCAACCTGAACCTAAAATTTTTGCAAAACCTGCCAAAATAAGATAATAAAACATTCAGAATATTCAAAAGCTCTGACGGGTGAACCAACCTCTACAAGAGAAACAAAAGTAGCCATCATCATAGCAAAAGCTTCACCAGCATCGAATGACGGAGGTCCCCATTGGAAGGGGTAAGGAATACTAATCCTGCAGATTCAAACCAGCAAGGAAAAAGAGAAAATCATTAAGTTTACAAAATTATAGGTTACCTTGTAAGTTCATAGAAATATTTTCCTAATGGACTAACAGAACTTATTAAGAACACTGCTGAACTAACAAAATAACTTCATGCGAGTAATAAGCAGAATTAAACGTTTTTCAAACAATACGCATCCCATGTTACAATCATAAGACCATTAGTAAAAAAATATGAAAGGGAGAACATAAAGTAATTTTGTTAGGTTCCTAGAGAGTAGAAAAGGAAATATTCTTGCTTCTCCATATTTCAAAAAATTGACCAACTATCTATGCAGTTGACAATATGAGAATCGGATAGGTTACTTTGGGACACCCATCAGTCTTTATAAGCTTGTGCTTACTTTTCCTAATCTGTAGCAGCATCGTCGTATCTGCCAGTTATGCTTGACGTGGCAATAACAAACCAGCACAAGCAGTTAATCAGTTGTGACTAAATTGATGGTGAAAGAAAAAGCACAATTGAGCATCCCATGCGAGCCTCTCTACCTTCGCAAGGTAGGGGTAAGGTTGTGTATACCCTTCCCAGACCCACTTGTGGGATTACATTGGGTTTGTTGTTGTTGTTTGATCATCCCATGCGAATTCATATAGCTCAAATACCTAGAGACCTATCTCTCTTATTCTCTTCTTGTATTCCATTTCAATAAAATAAGGCAAGGTCAGTTTAATGGATAAGTACACACCAACTTCCAGTCTCTTCCAGAACTTTTGCCTATAGAAGCTACTTTTTTATCTTTATTAGTAAGAATTGATAACAGGAGCTACTAGGGTAATAACTTTTAGAGAGTGCAAAAAGAACAAGGCACATTACACTCTAGATTTCTTAAAATCTAAGAGTTAAGAGTAGAAAAACTATGGCCTATTTCATATGTCAAAACAAAGTGTCATTATGTTGAAATTTGTAATGTCATATAGGTTACTGGAAACTACTCCTATGTCCCAATATAAGCATCCTAGTTTCCTCCTTGTGCTGTGCCAACTTGAGCCACTTCCCTAGAACACAACTTTTACAGCATACTGTAGAATCCTTTTCATTTCTATGTCTGCAAACTGCAATAGATTATAAGGTTGCAGGTTTTACCAAGGAGTTTTGCTTTATCAATAATTTTGGACCGACATATATAAAAATACGAAAAAATTTCCGTACGTGAGACCCATGCCAGTAATATTAGGAAATTGGAAAGGAGAAGGAGAGAAAAGCACTTGCCATGGAGCACCATTAATGAGTCCAGCACGATCAGTTCTGCAGCTTGCTTGTGTCTTTGGTGGCTTTCCATTGTAAGCCCCACCAACAGTGAGTAGGTGTGCATAAATCCACACGATGGCCACCGTGAAAATAACAGCAAAACGATCAAAGATATTCTTCCCTGGGCGTATCAAATGGGCCAAATACTGCAATAACCAGCATTATCAAGAATGCACAACTTATATCTCAAAAACAAAAACAAAAAATGGCAACTTATATCCTATGATGTCTTGCTCGTAAAATAATGTTTAAGAAGAATATATGATTTCTAGACAAAGCATTCCACCTGAGAGAAAATAACTAAAAGGACTAGCTCTGGCAACCCAACTTCAACACATTTGGCAACCTAAACAAAGATGAAGTAAATTCAACAATTATCATTGAATGAATATTGTAATGCAAGAAAAGTGTAGCGAGTTTCTACTTACCCCAGGAAAACCAAACTCATAAAGCCCAAAGCCAACAAGAGAAACCAAAGGAACAGCTGAAAGAGGGCTCAATAACCTAAGAATCCACGGGTAGTAAAATGCAAATCAGAGCTAGTATAATGCAAATAAGAGCTAGTATATTGTACAAAAGAGTCGACATAACTGAGAAGACCTCAAACCACAAAAAGTAATCCTTAAAGCAATTACTTGACCATTAGTATAGCATAACAATATCCAAGAGCAGACAAGTATACACTTAATTAATGATACAAAGTCAGGTGTTATATGAGAAGTTCAGTTCAAATGTAGGGAGAAATCTTGTGATATAACAAACCTTGTAACATTGCGCCAGAGACCACTGAAGCCAAGGACAATCTGAAGGGTCGAAGCAACAATAAGTGCACCTTGGGTGGCCCGCATTATCTTCTTGAACCTCTGATGAATCATAGAAAATATCAACAAAAGTTAAGACCCAATATCACCAACATGCAATGGATGATTCCCTCTGTGTTTCTGCGTCTCTAAACATCTTCCTGACCATTAGGGAAGTTAAAGGAACGTGCACTGACATGAATCATCAAGTGGAAAGTGAATTAATTGTGCATCAGTTTCTTTTGACACTTAGATGATATTTAAATTTGTTTCTCAAAATGATTTTATGGAAACTTGCCGTTAATGTTTGGATTTGGTTGTTTGAAAATACTGGTGGCACTTGGATTTGTAATTCAAAATTTTTAAAGTTATGATTTTCATTCAAAAGTTTGAAGAAATATCATTAAAACCTTAAAAACACTGTAGACACTTTCATATTGTTAAAATTATGAGAAAAGTCGATTAAACATATTTACGAACAGTCAAAAGGTAACAAAAAATGGTTGTTCGACCATCCGGACCACATAAAGGAGAAAGAAGAAAAAGGCAGAGGGGGTTGTGGCATGATGTCTGAACAGCCAGCAAGTATAGAAAATGGTTTAGAACTGGGGGACGTACATGATGCAAGAGGGGAAAACAAGGAAGGTTGTAATACAATCTCTAAAATATGAAAATGGGTTTTGGGGGCTGGTCTTCTAGTGGAAATTACTCTTCCAAAAGCAATTAAGTTTGCTTGGTTTTAGAACCAAATACCCCCTTTTCTGGTTCCAAAACTAATGGGGATTAGATTTGAGTTTTGGTTTCAAAATTGAGCAGCCCGCTAGCATAATTGTTTTTCCAACATCCTTACTAAATGAGAATAAAAAAGGTTAAACTGCTAATCCCATGTATTCACCAACTAAGTCCATGGAAAAGCTATATAGAAAAACCAAATATCATCTGCCTTTGACATTCGACCAATAAGAGCACTAGATGATCTAAACAATAGAAGAGAAAATGACTCAGTATTTGAAGACACCAACCGATATGGGGTCTTCATCACTCCATCGGCCAGAAAGGATAATCGAGATTGTAGGTGCAACAAAGGTATAAGACCCTCCAACCACAGCAGGCAGTCTGGTCCCAAAGATAGATTGCAACAAGGTGTTTAGCCCAGCAACAAATAGCAATGTCTGAATAACTTGGGCTTTTTCCTCCTGCAAAACGGGCAGGTAATCTTTCAGTTAAAATCAATAACAATACTTGAGGTCACGAGAAATTCATATCTTAAGTAGTTATGAAGTTCAATGTGTCTAGAAGCCTCACATTTCCACCTCCCATTTGGGGAACCAGAGCTGTAGGAATGATGACGGTGGTACCAAGCATAACAAGATAATGTTGAAATCCAAGAAGAATAGCCTCAGCTGCATTCCAACAATTACACAAAATCAGAATAGTCCACTACTATACACATGGTGAAAGAAATTCAAAACAATTTTAGAAACATTTAACTTTACCCAATACAGAGAATATTATGTCGGCCACCAAAATAATAATTTATACGGTCAACTCTCTAGCCATTAATCTAGTTGCCAGCCTACTGTAGCCACATTAAGCAAAATGAGCTCACATTAAGTGTTGTCGTGTAGGTGAGAATGGAACCTGGACCTAATTGTTACTCATTCGCCTCCTCAGCCAAAATTGGAACAATGAATAATAATAATAATAATAATAATAATAATAATAATAATAATAATAATAATAATGTGTAGACTTACGCCAAGGGGGAGGGCTAGTAATGCAGTAAGAAACATTGGGAAGTTGATCCTTTGGTGGATGTGGCACTGGTTCACTTGCCTTTGCTGCTGGAGCTGCTCCTCCTCCTGCCATTTTCTTTCTATTTTTTGCTCTAAACTGATCTTCTTGAGCAGTGCAAAACCCCAAATCTGCACAAACACCCAGAATCACAAATCTCTCAGAAACTGAGGGGGAAAAAAGAAACCAAAAAGACTGATAAGTACCAAGAGAGCAAAGACTGAAGAAAAGGGGCTCAAAAGTTTGTTAGTACACAGAAAGAATGGAGCAACAAACCCACATGCTAGTACCCACTCACTCTTGTATCAACTGTACCAAATAAAATAAGGGAAAAACGTTGAAGAAAATAAAATCAAATGTGAATTGAAGGAGTAATTATCGTAACCAAACTATTTATACCAGGAGAAAAACAATTACTCTACCTTGTTCTAATAACTTTAACCTGAAGTGAATATGTTTATGACAGAATTAGTTATGTAGAAATTGAAATATCTAGACTATTTTTTATTCGATTGAATGGAATAGAAAAATGCAAATTAAATGTACTTATAATGATATTCAAATATTATAAACAGAAACTGGTTTAAAAGATGAGATTCAAGTAGTACTAATAATTGGAAATACAGTGTATAGCTAAATTTGTGTTTTATTTAAAACAATTGCGATTCCTAATACAAGAGTCAAAATAAGGGAGAAGCACCCAGGTCCCGCCCTTGAACTTTTGTAGGATTTTAGATCAAAGTTTCAACCCTTTTTTGCTTCTTCTATATTTATGTCCATTTGCTTAACATAAAAACACACGGTTTGAATAAAGAGGTGAAGAAATTGATAGCTGCATCTGCTTCGCTTAATTCTCAATGCCTTCATTAATGCAAATTTATTGATGCAAACAAGCTTGAACCACCCAATACTATGCTTTGATAAATTGTTACTATAAGTTCTAACAATTCATTTATGTTGCTATATATGTTTTCTGTGATGTCAATTTATGTCTAATTATGAACTTGCAAATTAGAGCAAGAAATAGAAAATAATCAGAGAATCTCGACCCCTCCCCCTCCCCCTCCGATTAGTTTATTTGCTAATTTGTACTCCTATTAAAATAGTTTATCTTTTGTCAGAAACAGTAACCTTTTTCTGAAAAATAAATATATATACTATCTCCCGTTGCTAATTTGTTCTTGGAAAAGCGACGGCTTCAGCCTTCAAGTACAACAAACTCAGTTTTTATTAAAATAAATGCCAACGCAGGAGCAAAGAAAGTTAATGTAAGATTCCCAAACATACATTTTGAGTTTGAAAGTCAAGATTTTTCTACCCAATTGTTAGTTTAATGAATTAAATTAACACTACTTGGTATTTATATTTGGGGCATCTTCACTGCAGTAGTTATCTCTTGTTATTCTTTGAATAGTGAGAAAATAAAATAAAACGACAAGTAAAAAGATATAATAATACCCCAAAAGGGGTCGTTTGGAATAATGCATGCATTAACTTTGTGTATTAATAATACATTATTTGATACACTTTTTGAACTTGTGCATTAGTTATACACATTATTTGGACTAATACATAGAAAACCATGGTATTAACAATACAATGAGTTTTAATGCACGCATTAGCTTAGTTAAAGACAAAATTGCCCTTCAAAATTTATGCTTGATTAAAATATGCTACAATATTAATGGAAGTTTGATGTAAAGTTTGATACTGAAATATAATGGGTATTGGATGTTATTTGTTTAGCATTTTTTTTTTTATAAATAAATATCCAGTTCTATACTATAATATAGGTAGACAAATCAAAATAATTTTTTTTAAACCATTTTCATATTAAAACATTCTTCAATATATGTTTCTTTTAAAAAGATAAAGTGATGGACCGGTTATGAGGGTATTTTTGTAAACAAATAATTTTTTTAGAAATTATACAATGATTTAATAAATCAAACCAAACAATGAATAAAAAATATATCAGCATAACTAATATCAACATTACTAATATACCATATTCAGTATTATTTTTATAAACCCAACCAAACTACCCTCGTCTTTTAGACCTCAGAAAAAGGTGCTAGAAGACATATTAAATTGTATTTGCCTTTGCCATTGTACAGTGAGGGGGAAATTGATCGCTTGCTGCAAATTCGAAAGTTCTAACCACATGACACGTAATCTTTAAAACATCTTCAGTAACGTTTCTTAATGAGAATCTTGTTGTTACTTGTTACTATCTGCCGAGTAATTACATAAGAAATCACAAATGAAAATGAAAATACATATCATTAAACTATGAGTCATCAAAAGTTTTATATGCAAGAAATATGACTTGCATTTATTTATTTTATAAGTTTCAAATACCATTAATCTTTTTCATTAAACTACTATTATCCACGTTGGACCCCTTTACAATAGATATATTTGTGTCGTTTCTTTTTACAAGGTTAATTTCAAAGATCTCCCTTCAAATTTGGTTTCATAGCACTAATTACCTCCATTTTGGTTTGTGATATTTTACTTACTTTTCTTGTTTTAATTTTGTTTGTAACAATTGTTTTTACTTATTTATCTTAATGTAAAATAATTACAATGTGACCAATTTGCAACTTTAAATATCACACTCTTTTTATTAGTAATTCGTAGGAATATAATATAAGAACAATGGAGTTGGGATTTAGCGATAATAGTAGAATTCGGGAAAATAGAAGGATTATGAAGCTGCTTGCTTTGTGGGAAGTTCAAAGCCATTATATAATCTGTTTCCTTTTTACACAAAATTTCATGAGAATGCCGGAATATCTATTTAGTCGATACCTGCTTATCATCTGCCAATAAATGTTTAATTGTTATGACTAGCTAGGAGGTTCACTTAATCTTTCCGGCAGATAAAGTTTCTGGGATTAGATGATCACTTGATCAGGAGATCCCTATTGACACACGACTAATTCCTTCCCGATTTTGTTTGTATGTGAAGTGTAGTTTGATTGCTCGAGAACGAGCAATGATTTAAGTGTGTGGTGTTGATGATAGGCTAGAAATCTGTGTTTTAGTCGTATTTTGCCATCTAATTTACTACACTTTATTCGTGTTTGAGCTTAAAAGAAGATGATTTGCACTTATTACATGGTGTATGCCTTGTAAGAGATGATTTCGAGTTAGGAAGATATTCTTGAGCTAAATTGAGTGATTTAGAGCTTTAAAGTATGAGTAAAAGCCCAAGGAATTAAATCGGATCGCGTTCGGGGGTCGAGGACCAAGTCTGGATGTCAAAAAGTGAGAAAAAAATTACTATGAGATTTTTGCACTATTGCGCCGCATGGGGCGCTTGGCAGTGCAAAGTGGCATGTCTGACAAAAATCTGCTCTCTGAAAAGTCCCACTAGCGCGACGCGGGGAGCGTCGCACCAGTATATTATCGCTGTCCAATTTTCTCACTTCAGCTTGGAAAGGGTAGTTTAATCCGAGCCCGTTCTTTCATGATATAAATACACATAAAACACGATTTTTAGAGGACTTTGGACCTAGACAACTATTGGAGAGCATTGGAGGCTTCAAAACACAAGAATTCATCTTTCCATCAATTCAATACGGGAGTTTGGATTGTAACGTTAGATTGATGTTTTCTTATTATTTAACTCTAGTTGCGATGCCTTCCTTCATGATTATAGAGTAGTTTACCTTAAGGTTTGACATGATTTGGTATTGTGAATTTATTCATTATCGTGTTTAATCAAAAGAGGAGCACAATTTTGAATATTGTTGCGACGCATGACTTAACTTATTTTGGTACTTCTTCAAAGTAATCAAAAGAGCTTAGTGATCTACCTTTTGAATTAAGATTGAGAAATATTCGTGAGGAGTTTCTCTTAGGGCCCGTTTGGACATAAATTTGATGGAAGATTTTTCCAAAAATATTTTACTTTTTTCGAAATCAGCGTTTGTTCATAAAATTTTTAATTTTTTACTTGAAGATGCATTTTGAAAATTTTCAAAAAAATTAAAAAATTGCAAAAAGCTATTTTTCAAAATTCACTCAAATCACATACAAAACTTCAAAAATAATCCAAACTGAAATTTATGTCCAAACACAACTCTAAATTTTAAATACCATTTTCACTTTAAAAAGAATTTCACCATTTTTTCGAATTTTACAATTCTTATGTCCAAACGCCTACTTAGACCATTCTTACCAATAGATTCTTGCAAGTTTCACCGCACTTCATATTAGCCTATTTGAACAATTTAGGTTTAATCGAGCGAGGAACTTGAATTAGAATAATAGGATAATAGCTTGTTGAATTAGTGAGAATCAATAATACATTAAGAGTGAAATTTAACAGTGTCCATTCCAAGATAACAATCTTATACCTATCATGTCTTGAACCTTATTTCTCGCACTGATAACAACCCGAGTTTGCTACTCTCTAGTTCTCTGTGATCAAGTATTACTTGCTTTAATTTTAGTTTGTTAGTTTTAGTATTAATCATACTAAATCAAAGTGTTGAACATCCTGAATAGTGTTTAAGTCAGAAATTACTTGAACATTGTTTAAATCCAATCCATGTAGAGTCGATATTTAAACTATACTATCTTTGACTAGCGAGCATCAATTTTCTGGTTGTGTTTCATAATTCATGAAAGAGAATGAATTTGGACATATTCTGGTAAGCATGTATTTGGACACTTTTCTGGTAAGCTAAAAAAATAAAGAAATAATTTTTTAGCAAAACCAAATTTGGATTATGACCAATTTCTAATGTGCGCAAGGCCACACCTTTTTACTAGCTCTTTATAAACCCAACAAAGAGCAGTTTAATATAACAAGAAGAAAGAAATTGACACTTTGTCTTTGGTAAAAGATAAAGAAAGAAGAAAGAAAAATGGATCACAATGGAATCTTTGACTTTGCAATATTATTTATTAATAATACCAGCATTTAATTGCACCTTTTTTAAACTCAGAGATCATCTAATTGTGGTAAATTTTAGGTGCACAATTGTCGTAACATATATTGTTATAAATTGTTGGTTTTTGCCTTTTTGGTAATGAGCAGTAATCTACAAGCCAAAAGTTATAGTAGAAGGTTTTTTGGTGGAAAAGGGGCTACTCATGTTTGTCCTCAAGATTTCCTTTCTGGAACTTTTACACCTTTTCATGATATGTCATGATCATCTTTCGGTCTACAATCACTTTTCAAGAAAAGAAAAAAGACAAAGAAAATTTTATTCTATTAGTCATATATATGACGTCTCATCTATATTCTTCCCCCCTTTCAAATGGCAGCCCATTGATGAACTGCAAAAACTATAATATACGAGAACCATATAGGGAAAAGTATAACTCAAGTCATGAACTCCTGATTTATTAGCTTCATAGCTAATACAAAAATATAACTCAAAATCAGCAAAGAAAATGAACACATCTTCATGAAAACCACTGAAAATTTCGCCACAGCGGCCTTCCTTCTCTACTCTCACTTCAGCATAACCTGCTCATAGCAATTTGAAGTGTTTTAGGTTGGATTCTGGAGCTTTGGCATGATCACACAACTCTAGCGTTGCGCGTATTCAGTTAAATTCCCAAAGGTTTGTATCGGAACGTCAAATTTGCAAACCATTGGAACTGTACTTCAAGGGCTACAATTCTCCTTCAGAAATCACAATCAAATGGCCACTTGTTTTTGAGTTAATATTTTTGTGAGGTTAAGAGTCGTAGTAGAAAGAATCTCTAGCCATATACCTTATTCTCCAACTCTTCTTGTTCCAAAATACTAATTCAGAAGTCAAACTCAACTAAACTATTTTCGAAAAGTCTAAAACATGTTCTTTAATTTGCATTCAAAGGTATATTCAAGCATGTTTACCACTCAAAAATTACTAGCTTTGCACACACGCATATAAACCCTGAAACCCTATTTCTGGAGCAAGGATTAACTTGACCATCGAAATGTTTGATACAACCAAAATTACAGGAGCAGTAGTTTCACTGA